AGTGTTTCAGGGGATTTTTGCACATCTGTATTTCTTTAAAATGAACAAATACATAACCATAAAACATTTGAGCTTTTATACATTCTAATTACTTAAAACCAACAAAGAGCTTTGATTTCCTACGTGTGAGATTTATTGTAAAGGGCAGAAGAAAACTTCAGATCTCTTTGAGTCCATCAAAAAGTGCAAAGCTGAGCAGACAGCTGCACCTACATAATAATCTGTCTGTAAGTAACTGTGTAAACATTTGCTGAATTATCCTTTATTTGACTTAAAGTCCAAATAATAAAACTGAAAATATTTTAAATCACCAATTCCCAAAAAACAAGAGTGGTGTTCCTCCCACTCAAAAAACAGAAAATCCCACACACTCCACCCAAAGCTAAATCTTTTATCTAATTAATCAAACCCAAAGTGTTAAAGTCAATGTGTGACCCACCTGCCACTGACACACAAACTTCAATAGCTGTGTTTCCTTGTTTTTGTAACAGTGACAATAAAGATCTGTTCTAACAGAGCAGTAAATACAGGTCAGAGTAGTCAGTGATATCTCCACCTTTTATTTTTAATTCACTTTTTATATAAATAAATACATTCAGATGAATGTGTAATTTAACACACTTGGCTGTGACTAATTTCAGCCTGAATTTCTGTTTTTACTGTGGCCCACCTGTAGTACCTTCATGACTCACTGGGGCATCCAGACCCACACTGCTTAAAAGACTTTCTCCACCCTTATAACATCTAATTCAGTGAAATATACATAGTGATCTTCCCACATTAATAAACTATTTACCTTAATATCACAGAAACTGTTCATCTGGGGAAAAAAGTAAAATGATCAGTAGGAGAAATGTTTCAATATTCAGTCATTTGCTTATATAAAATATAACCAGTTAAATATATAAGTAAAGTGATCATCGTCACTCTAGACTTTTCTACACCTGGTGATGGATACTGTCTGTTATTATGGGAAATGTCTCAAACAAGGTGGTAGAGCTGATGGTGCTGTCTGCTGCAGGGGGGTTACTGTCAGTGTAGCCTCATGTGCTTCAGAGACATGACTGAATGAACTTTACAGACTCACTCGTCACTCTGGCTTCCAGCTCCAATGGGCAGATAGGACAGGTGAGAGTGGCAAGAGGAAGGGGAGGAGGTGGTGTGACTGTGGACACATTAAAGACTTTCCCAGTAGATTTGGGCAGATTCCCAATAATAAAATTTACTGAGTCTTTTGCAAATCCACTAATTGAAAAATAGGCACCTTTTTCCAAAATGGCATGAAAGACATGCTGGGAAATATATTTACTTTAACTTCCTGACCTTGCTGACTGTCATTAGTGCCACACACCAGTGAACCTGTTTACCTCAATTATGCAGCAGGTGATTTTCGTTTTAATATTATAGAGTAGTTAATCAGCACTGTGACATTTTAAATTATGTTTAGCAAGCAAAGCAAAAAAGTGATCCTTAAAAGAGGAAGGAGAGCAGAGATTAGAGCAACAGGAATTTGTTGAGCTCAAGCCCTGAACAATGAAGCTGTGATGGGTCAGTAGTTTGTGTTTTTGTAAACAGTTGGAACAGAGACTGGGCTTGTTTGGCAGTGTACGAGGAGCTGTGGTTAATGATGCCATGTTTTTTAAAAATTGATGCAAAAGAGCAGACCGGCTCAAATGCACAGGCAGGAGGGCGAACAGATGATTAAGTAGATAAAGTTATACAGGCTTGTGACACAGAGACATCCAGGTCGGTAACTGTACAAATGGAAAGGAGAAGACTAGACACTGAGAGGAGAAACTCAAAAACCACAAAGAACTGAAGACTAATGAAAACCCAGGCTGTGTGGCCATGTGGCTAACAGCAGAGAAGAAGCAGTTCAGGAGCCTGAGGGCTGCAGGCTGGCCACGGTGTGGGTGAAGACCTTTGGGTGGCTCGGTAGGTGACCAGCACTGATGTGGCATGTCAGGTGCAGGAGGTCCTGGTCGTGGCATGACAGGTCCAGGCGGTGCCGAATGTTGCGGATCAAGTTTCGCAGGAGCAGAACCAGATAGCGGAGCGCAGATCTCTGGCTGAGACGTGATATAACCAAACGTCGCTGAGGCCTCTGACTGAGACTGCAGCAGGCTCTGGAGATGGGCGTCCTCCAGCCTCAGCTGGAAAGGGACCCATTGGTTTAATTCCCAAAGCGGG